ACACACACACACACACACACACACACACACACACACACACACACACACACACACACGCACATACACACACAGTCTAAATCCTAACCGTGTGTGTCACAGAATTAGTCAGTGCAGTGGCGCACTGCATTATTGTGGTTAGACATTTGTACATTTTGGATTAACAGTGCGTAAAGTGATTACACCAGGTATAACTGGTACGACTCGTTTATCCATACACTGAAGAAGTGGAGCCACTTCATGCACCGTCTGCGATAATGATGCTGTGTTTAAGCTGTGATGCAGTGTGGAGACATGGAGAGCTGCATTATCGGCTTGTTATGTGCAAAGATGCAGCACATGAGTGACTTTCTGGCATTTAAAAAAAAAGTTTCTCATTTTTGTCTTTGTGGTTGTTTTGGACAAAGTTTCATAAAACTAGTGGTTAGTAGGTACTTAACCTTAAGGTGACTTAACCTGAAAAACAAGAAGAAAAACATACTGCGTGCACTGCTTGATAACACTATTCGGGAAGCTTATAATACAGTTGGTGATATGTAATAAAAAGATAATGACACAAATTTGAATGTGAATCAGACCGAAAGTCATGGGTCATATAAAGGGCCTTGAGGCGACTGTTGTTGGGATTTGGCGCTGTGTAAATACAATTGAATTGAATCGTAGTAATGCATTCATTAATTATTGCAGGATTATGCGGCCAGACGATGCCAACGTTGCGGGCAACGTCCACGGTGGCAACATCCTCAAGATGATAGAGGAAGCCGGATGCATTGTCGGCACGCGGCACTGCAACACACAGAACGGGGTAAGAGACAACAGCCACTGTCTTTCTGGACTGTGCTATCGTACTGTTGGATAAATGAAGTCAAGGAAGTTCTCCATAAGTTCCTCTAATGTTCATTTTTTTGTAGCAGAGAGGTGTCATTTATATAATGCACTGCAGTACTAAATGTTTCTATTTTTTAGCACCTGAATAAAGAGACTAAAATATGTTGTGAATAATAGTGTTGAAAACTTCTGTACTATAAGTGTGAATTGACAGAAATTAATGCAAGAAACTAAGAAATGATAACCATTACTTTTACAACTCAAATTTTAAAAAAAGTTTAAAAAAATGTGAAAAATTAATTAAAAACACAATAAAGGAAATACAAAATCTCAAAAGGGAGTTATTTCTGTCTAACTTGCAGTTATACTAGCATTAAAAACATATTTATCAAATTAGTGAAGTTTCCATCCATCCATCCATCCATCCATCCATCCATCCATCCATCCATCCATCCATCCATCCATCCATCCATCCATCCATCCATCCATCCATCCATCCAATTCTTCCACTTATTCATTGTACTGGGCTAGGATATAGCCTGCCAATCACAGGGCTGACACAAAGAGACAGACAATCATTCACATTCACACCTAAAACCAGTTTAAAATCTCAAATTAATCGAAACCCTGTGTATGTCTTTGTGGGAGGAAGCCAGAGCACCCAGAGTGAACCCATGCAGACAAAGGGGAGAACACACAATCCCAGCCTGGATTTGAATCTAGGACCTTCTTGCTGCGAGGCGACAGTGCCTCACAGACAGTGACATCTGCAGTTGTACACTTCATTAACCTCATTTGGACTATACAACCTTGCTCAGTGGTATTATTTTTATCACTCAGTGTACAGTCATGTAACTGGGGGAATCAACCTCAGTGACTCAGGATTTTAAACCAGATTTTCCCTCTGATCTTCCAGCAGAGCAATTTCCAGATTCCTGCCATTGCAGTCAGATGTTGTGATTATGTGACTATGTGTGTATAAGTTTTGAGTCTGCTGTTTGTCTTGTATAGGACCGCTGCTTGGCAGCTCTGGTTCGGGTGGAGAAGACAGAGTTCCTGTCCCCCGTGTTCATTGGCGAGGTCACCCACGTCACTGCTGAGATCACGCACACCTCCAAGCACTCGCTGGAGGTCCAGGTCAAAGTCATGGCTGAGAATATCCTCACAGGTGAATCGCTGTGATATTCAAAAATGAATGCCTAACCCTGACCCTTAGCCTAAACCTAACCATAACCTAAATGTAACCCTGTCACTAAAACCACATTTTGAGTCTCAAAAATACCTTCAAACTTGTGGAGGTGGGCATTTTGTCCCCATAAAGACTGTTGGTCCCCACAAGTATAGTAACATTACAATTTTTGTTCCCTACAAAGATATGTAAACATGGTACACACACACACACACACATTAAACCTGTTTGGGAACCGTTTCATAGCATTTTTCAGTTAATAATGAAAGGGAATTTAATTCACACAAACGATTTTAATCCTGCTTAGTTTACAGAAAAACTGTTTGTTATAAGATAAATTTAACATTAAGCAAGCTACTTTTGACTGCTCCCTTGCCACAAGGGGTAACCACAGCGGAAAGATCTGCAATTTTTAATTGACCGATTTTTATATCCTAAACAAACCCAAAGGGGATTTATGTGTCCAGTGGAATCTAACCAGCAGTGGTTAACTGCACATCAGCATGCACATTGATGTAGGATTTCTGCTTCCTGGATGATTTTGTTTGAGTCGCACTACTTTATCTGTGCATCATTGTTCACCTTTAGCCTCATTCTCATCATTTCAGAGAACCAATGGTATGGTAAACATTGAAACAGGAAGTTGACTACAGAAAGATAAAGTTGACAAACACAGATATACAAATATCTGCATGTTCAGCATGTACTGTAAAAATTGGGGCTGCAACTAATAATCTTGTGTTGGGGAATCTGGAACAAGTAACTATTTGGATCTTTTGCTTGGAAATATCTTAATCAGTTCTCAAAGAGCTCTGTTAATTATTCAAAAGATTAACATGTGACATTAAAAAAAAAAGCAAAAAAGCAAACGTGTGTGTGAAAGTTTAGCAGTAAGCGTTATGGTGTAAAAAGTGCATAGGTGCAACTTTTTGTCTGGTTATTTGTGCAAGTCAAACATTAGTTTTGTCTTTATCTCTTTGTCTCACTGTCAGGAAGAAATATTTATGAATCGGAATTTATCTCTGTGTTTCACACGTTATTTCTTAAATTGGAAAGACTTCTTATGGAAATATTTCATCACTTCTGGAAAATTGGAATACTTAACGATCAATGAAAAATGACTTCATTGTGATATTCCGCTGTTTGATCACAAGAGGGCAGCACATAGTAAGTGGTACTGCTTGTGGCAGCATGAATAATGAAACTCTGCTTTCACAAGGGACTGCATTACGTGCTGTGATGGGGGAACAGAATGTAAGAGCGATCCTGATTTCTAGAGTATTTGGCAACTGATGATGTTTCTAATTCTGTAATACACGTAATACACTTTATTTATATGTGTGCAGGTTAACTTGAACACACAGGCTCCTGCAATTCTCAGAGTACCTTAGGTAAAGATGCAGAGACCACTTTGGGTTGCTGTATCTGAACCTTTAAATGGCACGGGGACAGAAGTCTGCCTGTGATAAATGTCTCTACAAATTTAATGTCTTAAGGCACTGTAAAGTATGTAATTAGGGGGTTATCTGTGAGTTTTGGCAGTTTACACCAGGTGCAGTTTTTAAGTATGAAAGAAAAGCAAATTTTAATAGTTGTGCAGTGGTGGTGTCCATCTTTCAGCTGGTGAAACTAAAGACGGGAGGAAATGGAAAGAGAGGCAGATGGAGAGCAGCAGACAGACATATCGATGGGGAAAAAGATAGCAAAGAGAATTTAAGAGGAAAAATAGCAAGAGTAGCGAAGAGATAGAAAGAAGGATGAGAAAAAGGAGGTGTGGGAAACAAAAGAAGTATCCCCTAGACAGCCGTTGCCCTAGCAACAGGCTTATACTGGTTGGTTGGCTGGTTGCTGGGCTGAAAGCAGGTTGACGGAGGCGGAGGCACAGATATGAGGTGACAGGTGGAGAGCAGCATACATACGTGCAGGCACCAGAATGGACAGCCCTCTACAGTGAATGGCCCGTTAGGAAGGACCCCTAATGAGGGGGAGATCAGGAAGCAAGCACATGGACTCGAAGCATTGTTCAATTTGGTTCAAACATTTCTAACAGGGGAGGCATTTTCAATAAAATGGAATCTAGCTTCCATTCCTATATTCACTATTTATTCACATCAAGTTTGTCTTAGAAAACATGCTAAGAAATCCTAATTTGCATTGCAATATGTAATAGGTTTTAAAGCAGTAGTCCACAGTTATAGAAAATGACACAATGCATCTTCTGGTACTTTCAATCATTATTAATTTCTAAATTTTCTGTTCTCTTGAGAGTGAAAAATCTATAACTACACTCGCATAAACAAAGAAAAAGGATTCGTTCTGAGGGTTTGAGTGTAGGTTTAGTGTCAGGGCAATGTGGGTGTAGTGTAAATAAGAGGAGTTGTAGCCCGGGGTGGGAGCAGGCATGGAGGTGAGTTCCTCTGGGACACCAAACTTTGCTACTGAGGTCTCTGGAGGCTGTGTGGGCCAAGCACAGTAATAGAATTAGTTTATATTGTATGCTAAATTTTATGTACTGTAAAAAGTACACTGTTTTCCTGGTTCACACTTAACAGCAACTTATGTTAGTCACAAATACCCCCCCAAAACAAAGTCAAGTCAAAGTTTATTTATATAGCACATTTAAAAGACTAGTGTACATCAAAGTGCTTCACAATAAAACCGCAGTGCGGGCAGAACAAAGAACAAATAGTACAATTATACTTAAAATTGCATTTACATGGTGTAGTGCAGGCCGAATGAAAGTCAAACTAATTTGTTTCAAAAGCTAAGTTAAACAAGTGTGTTTTTAAACGAGATTTGAACGATTGAATTGATTCCAAAGTACGAATTTCGACTGGGAGATAATTCCAGAGTCTAGGGGCAGCGATGGAAAATGCACGGTCACCTCTGGTTTTTAAACGAGACCTTGGTTGCATTAGGAGCAGTTGGCTGGAGGATCTTAGTGCTCTCTTTGGGTTGAGGAGATCAGTTAAGTAGCTAGGGGTCATGTTATTTAGAAGAGAAGAAAACAAAAGTACAAAACTGCTACAGATATTAATCATTTGAAGCGATCGAAACCTGCATATAGTAAAGTGAGCTGGCAATGTGAAAGACTTCATTAAACATTTAAAGGAGAGCCCGAGAAGGAGCAGCAGCTTGGTGGTGTAGTAGGTCATATTTACAGGAAGTGGGTCATATTTGTTTCTATACTGTAACTATGGCTGTGCATTTGAGTTGGCGCAGCTGCTAAAAGCCAATGGTTATGCATTTAATGGATCTATTTTTGTCCAAATCTCAGTAGAATACAGTATGCTCAGCTGTGGCCGAGCACATGTTTTTAGTTTGTATTCTTGTTAGATGTGCACTTTTGTGCCTAATTTTTTGAATGCATATTTGGATGTTCCATGCGCACTTCATACATGCATGTGGGTTTTCGTCTGTGTTTGGCCCTTTAAAAGGTTCCTGCAGGGCAGAGAGGGAAGAGAAGATAACGGGAGCAGACATTATTTGCTTCTGTCATGTTGGCTTAGCATCAGGCCTCACACAATGTGGCCCAGTCAGACACGGATGCCAAGTGGATGTACCTGCACACATTCTCCGTCACAACGCATGCACGTACCCAACACACTGACCCACGCCCATACACACACGGGGTTGTGCAGGGATGACCTGCATGCATGCAGAGCCTCATATGTGGACACTTTAGACACAGAAAAAGAAATCACACACCTACGTGTTCTCACACCCACACTGAATGAGCACAGTTTCCTTCTTGCTAAAAGAGAACACATACCGAGACAGGACTGGCAGGTTTTACATATTCCCGACCAGCTCTTTTCCAAGGCAGAAGATTGATGGATTGCTTAAAACAGTAATACAGAACAAAGGATTTTACCAGTTGTAGACCAGAATATGCACTTTGTGTATTTTCTGGTGTACATCACAGGGTGTGCATTTGTGCAGCCATGCATGCTTTTTTAGCTCTGTGCAGATGTTAATGTGCATGCTCCTTGTATCTTGCACTCTTTGTGCAAGGATCTTTGCATTTATTTAATATGTATGTGTGTGTGTGTGCGCGCGCGTGTGTATGTGGAGGAGGCAATCATCCAGGTTCCACAGTCAGTCAGGCAGCATCTCGTCAGGCAGGCCTCAGTCACAGACCCTCAGGGTAAGGCTGCCTACTGTGGGCACGAGCCGTGATGATTGTCCCTGCTGGGGGGATTGCGCATGCGTACTAACATACACATGCACTCACAGTCAGACCTACACACACTACAGCACGTGCAGATTTGCAGATGTGAGAATACACATACATAATGAAATGCCACACTCTCTCACACACACACAAACACTCGCCACTTTAGAGAATGTGCACATACACGCACACACACACATGCACACACACATACACACGTGCGCTCTGTACATTCATATAATGTGCTTGTGCTCAGTCACTCATGGGACTCGCATATATATATATGCAATGCTACTTGTGTTGCACTCTGGCGCACATTCACATGAACACGACATACACAAATCCCTCCTGTTCAACACACATGAGCAGGGAGAGAGCTGAGAGCGCAGCATTGTGGGTTTGATGCTTAAAATGTTGTAACCATGATAGTTCCTGTCCTGGTAGGTCACAGAACTGCACATCCTCAGAGTGCTACAAGAACATACAAACACATCTAAAATGGATTGTTTTAGCTTTAAATTCAGCTCAGCAACATAAAAAAAACCCGATCATGCTTTTTTTTTGTAATAGCGTAATTGTCATTAATATATTTATATGAAGAAAATGTGTTTAAATCTAACACAGAAAACAATATACTTAAAAATACCACACAAAAACCCTTAACAATAAAGCACAAGACTGGTTTGATATGAAGGCATCTCTTACTTTTTTTTTAAAAAACATGATGCTACAAGAAAATGAAGGTTAGTTTAGTTTAACAGGGAGTTGTTTATGTGGACTCACAATGGAGTCTGTCAACTGTGCAGAAGCTTTTTGTCTCACAGCTGGATTTTCCAGATCTTTATTTTGATTGAGAAGAGAGGTCCTCGCAGTAACGATGTTCAATTCAGTGTGCTAAGCACAAACAAATATTAAAAAAAAGTTTACATTGAGTATCAGATAATCCTCACTCAGAAAGCACTGTTAGAAACTCCGCTGCTGCCATGATTTAATCTATTCCTATCAGGCTGTAACATTCCCCAGAGAGGGAATGTAGTATTATTAAAAGTAATGGAGCCTTGGCTGAGCACAATGGAAAATCTGTGGTTTTGATCATGGGGATCAAGTACCAAGAACGATCCCCTCTGCACTGTCTCAGAGCCTGGAACAGGCTGTTCAGGAAGGAGAAAAGAAAACAGGGTCTTTTTTCTGCTTCGAGAGAGAATTAAGGCGAGTGAGTAAGAGACCAAGGGGAGAGCACAGAGGTGAATCAGTAAAAGACACAAATCAAGTGAAATAGCTCATGGTGAAAGAAAAAGGAAAGATATCGGGTAAAGGACAGGAAGGAAGAGCAGGAAAGGTGAGAAATTACACACACTGAGGTTGTCAGACTGGGACTGCCTAAAAGGTTTTCATTTGAACAGAAAGTGTGAATTTTACTATGAAGTCCTGATTGATGCCTTAAACTTAGATTAAAGGAACTGGAAGATGTATGAGTCATGCTGGAGGGACGTTGTCCCCTACCACCCCCACCAACATAAGCACCCATGAGCCGTGAGATCAATACCAAAATGCTCTTATTTCTAATTAAATATGACACAGCTTAGTGTTTTAAATGCTGCTGCATATTATGCTAAAAGAGTGTCTGTGTAGTACTTACAAAACAACACCTATTGGATTCTTGTTCCATAATGAGGGTTTTTATTTTTGCCTGTCTCTTCAGAAGGTGAAGCTGTCCTTTTAGTGATGTTATACTCCTGTAAGAAGAGCCAAGTGATACTAGTTGGCTTGTATCACGTGCAATGTCCTTTCTTGCACAGGCAGTTGCAATTTTGCACATTAAAGCACTCACTGCACCGCTGCACTGGTCTTGCTCCACTGACACCCCATATATATTGGAGGGGGGAAAAAAGGTGCCTGCCACTGCTAGGTGCCATTTCTCTCAGCTGTCATAATGCCTTTTACCATTTATGCAGGCCCTTGTTCCAAAGCTGTCACTGCCTGAACTTGAAAAATCATCCCCAAAGTCAAGCGAGATCCGTTAGCGCAGAGTGTAGAAATTTGACAGAGCAGATTTGTGCCCGTGGTTCATGGAGCCAAAAATCTTCCTATTCTGCAATTCGTAAATCCAAACTAAGTAAGCAAGCTGTTCCTCCTGCTAGTTCAGACCCAGCTTTTGTGAGTCTGTAGACACGTGTCAAAATCAACCACTTTTCTAGTAATGGTCACTTTTACATGCAAACAGTCAGACGATACTGACCTTAAAAAGCAACTTAAAGGCTGCTTCAGCTCGTCAGTGGGGCTGTGTCGTCTACGGTTGTACCCTTGACAGTGGGTAGTGATTGGTGCCTGCCTACAAAGAACAGTCTTAAACTTAAGTGTTTAAGGTATGTGCTAACTAAAAATAAAGACAAAATGATAGTTTATTAAATTTTAATGAAATTTGCAGATTGTTTCGCTGAAGTTTAATAAACTCCTTGCTATCTAAAATATAACAGGACACCGGAGTAAATTCTCGAGCATCTCACACTTCTGCTGATTAGTTGTTTGCTTGATGTTTATTCAGCTGTGTAAAAACTTTAACTTTAATCTCAGCCAAACCGATTCACTCAGGAACAAATAACATACTAAAAAAAGCCAAACAAAAACATAACAAGTTATCTAAGTGACTTATATATCATGTTTAACCTGAGTAGCGAAAGACGGCGGTGGGTTTGAAAACGATATGCCAGGAGTCCGGTGTTCTCACGGGCTCTAGTGAGCCTTTCCCCCGGCTAGCTATCGTGCTAGTGGGTAACAGACGTCTCCGAAAACGTCGGAGCGCTTTTGAAAGTATGTGGTGTCTTGATAAACTGAGCACATATTTGAAGTTTACACAGCTACATTCTCGCCTGAAAATATGTTAAACTTTATTTTGTGACCCAAAAAGAATAATAAGAGTAATATTAGAACTAACTAGCTGCCGCCATTGTTGGAAACTGAGCTGGGCTGCGCTATGAATTCTGGGACACAGCTTCTTCTTCTTCGGGGTTTAACGGCAGCTGGCATCCTTGTACATGCAGTGCTGCCATCTTCTGTTTCAGTGCGTTATTACACTCTTAAATCCTGCTACTTATTCCTGCGTCTTTTGGGATCTTACAAAGCTTCAAACGACGCGTCGACTATTAAATTAGTCGTCGACGATTTTAATAGTCGACGTAATCGTGACTAGTCGACTAATCGTGGCAGCCCTAATTAAGGCTGCCACAAACGATTATTTTGATAGTCGACTAGTGACCGATTATTTTTGCGATTAGTCGACTAATCAAATCCATTGGACGTAAAACGTACAGCTTATTGCACCAGCACCCATCTGCTCTCATATAACTATCATTAGCTTACAGCTTTAAGGGCACTATTTATTCCTTGATGTTGTGACAGAAAAAAATATACCTTTAACAAGGGGGCCATATTACATATGAGGAAACCTACTGATTTATATTACATAAATTGCTACTTTTAGGACTAAACTGACATGTCCGCTGCACTTTTCCAGTCTCACAGATGACATAAAGTTTTAGCTTACTCATATCTGTACCTACAGTACACATATCAACGTTTAATCTAACATGCAGTACTTTGGACTGTGGGAGCAAACTGGGGTGCAAAGAAAATCACCAAACACAGTAAAAAAAACAGCAGAAAGGCTCAAACTCATACACTCCCTGTTGTGAAGTGAATGCTAACCTATGTCCCCGTTATACACAACAAATGCTAAATGAAAGTTATCTAAATGCTTTCTAATTGCGCTGAGGGTATATTTTAGATTTTGCATAATTTATTTTTGTTTTTGGCAGAACATAGACTGCTTCTTCTGATACTGCACATAAAAATCTTGAAGAAACAGTGAAAATAAACAACTTTCACTGCATGGGATCATATGTGTACTTTGTGTCCCTGAGAAAAGCATGCAGAGTTATCTTAAGGTCTAATAATTAGCCCTAAGGGGCACATTGTGAAACTGTTGTATTTTCAAGGTCTGCCTCAAATTTGTCTTGCCTTCAAAATGTGCTATGCCTGTAAGCGTGATGCAAAAGAATATGTGCTGTTTCAGTAGATGAACTGTGAAGGATAAAAGGTTGCAGCCTGGACGAGGATATGGTCAAACATTGACATTGTCTCCATTTGATGTAGAGGGATTTTAAATTCAAAGCCGGTTATCTGGTTTCTTTTCGATCAAAAAGGGCATCAGTCGTACTGGGAATGGTTCATCCATCCTTTCTTCTTCCCTTCTCGCTTCTCCCACCACCCTAAACACAGTTCACTTCAAGGTCCATCAGTAGCTAATAATAGAGTAGAGTCACTCAGTCTTGGGTAGAGTCAAGGATATGTAAATATCCCTCCCTTTTTCCTGTGGGCAACTTCCTGGTTGCTGACAAAGGCGGGCACAAATGAGAGGAGGAGGAAAGAAGCATGGTTGGCATGGCAACGAGGCCTGGCTGTCTGCACAGTTTTTAACTCGGGTGTAAAATGCAAATGCTATTTTCCCAGGAGTAGCCTGTTAAAAGCTGCTCGCTCAGCTCTCTTCTCTTAACTTCACATGTTCTCATGCAAATATCCCAGCTGGTTCACCGCTGAGACACATATTAAATGACATATTTTCTCTAAGGCTGTAAAGATGCCTTATTTTTAAGCCTGTGGTCATGCACATTTATGAAATTTGACTCAAGTTATCGTAATAAAAATGCAAGACGTTCAATAAAACATTTTGCTCATTCAGGCCTCAAAAAGGACTTCAAAGCTCGAGAGCTGAAAAAGTTAATCGGATATTGTAGGTAAAAAACCCTTTAAAACAGTAATTTCACTTCAACCTGCTGCCCCGATGCTGCCTTTAATCTGCGTGCCATAACAACGCCAACCTAAAATAGCCCCTCTCTCTCTGTGTGTGTTAGCAAATTAAGTGAAAAAGTGTGGGCAGAGTAGAACAGATATATCACTATGACAACCTTTCTGGCTGATTGCGATGTAATGTGACTTCTATGAGTTTTGTTTTCTGATCATCTCGTTCTGAATTTTCTGTAGGAATTCAGAGTCAGTGCTACAGTCTCCAACTGCCAAAGCATTACACTGTGGTATAACCAACATACATATTTGTGCAGACACTTGATGATGAATGAGTTGCCATGGTTTCATTGGTTTCATAATTACAACACTGAAATGCAGAAAATTCAGGATTTACAGATATGCCGGGCTTAGCTAGCTACGTGACTGTGAGTACTTGTTTTCTGAACAGGCAACAACTATTGTGTTTGAACACAAAGTGTTTTCTTCTCCTTTCTTTTCACAAGAAAGACGAATCTTTTGCAAACAGGCAGCGCCAATTGACTTGTTAAAAACTGAAGTGGCCTTTATTGTGGTATTAATAAAAGTGTCTGTTTTGACAACAGCCGTTTCAAAATTCTTTGCTCCATTGTTGTTTTATTTGAAAGACATCAAGATGTCAAAATTTCTCGCCAATTAGATTATGGTCACAAAAACGTTGCTTCTTCATTTGGTAGAAATGACGCGTTCCCTGACATTTTCCCTAGGACAAGTACTCAACCTTTTCTCTGTGACTGCAGGTGCCAAAAAGCTGGCCAACAAGGCAGCACTGTGGTACGTCCCCTGCTCTCTGCAAAATGTTGACAAGATCATGGAGGTGCCACCCATCAAGGTACATGGAAACTCAAATTGCTTGCATCTTAAAATTGTGGCAGCTTCTCTGTGTCTCAGTGACCTTTCCACCCACCTTCCCCCAGCCCCACATCTAAAATGACACGAGCAAGGCTATATGGTCAAGATAGAAATGACTGACATTTAACAATGTGAAAAGTCCCTTTCACTCATCTTTGTTTTGAATACCTGCTTGTTGCAATTCTTTGCTGTACTCCTTGTGCATTTGTGCAGAGAGTGGTGTTCGAGTGGATCTATGCACAAGTGTTCAGCATGTTGAATATATTCTTTCTACAGTATGCTAGTGCTGAACAAGAGGAGGAGGGCAGGAAGCGCTATGAGGCTCAGAAGATGGAGAGATTGGAGACCAAGGCGAGGCCTGAAGAGATGATGCCATCTCCACCCAACCCAGGTAATATATTCAAGCTCAGGGTCCCATATCAGTTTGCAGATACAAAACCACAGCTATAGAAGTCGTTTCCCTATCTTACAAGTTTTCAGTGATGATGCAGATATGAGTGAAATTTCTTCCATTTCCTCCCTCATGGGGTTTGCTAATAGTATGCCATAAAAATACTAAAAATACTGTACAGCCATCTTTGTTGTTGCCCAATTAATGCAGTGACGGGAGAAGCAATTAGTTTTTTGATGTATTTTCACTGCTGGCACCATGAATTCATGCTGAGCTGCAGCAGGAAGTCAAAAGCAAATGCTTTTTTCAAAGTTAAAACACAGAGATATTATTGCTGAATATCAAGATAAAACAATGATAAATCAAGCAAGTGAAGAATCCCTGGAGTGCTCTCAGAGCGCGTCCACAGGAATACATTTAAACATTTAACATGTAAACACGTGGGCCCTAGCATCCTCACAAGAGCACTTGAAGAACTCAGAAATGGATCCATTTGGAAACACTGCTGCGTGGGCACTTCTTTTCTCATTTCTGAGGCTTTCTTTCTCTGGCAGGGGGTGATACCCTCTTGAGTTAGCTTTAAAAACACCTCCTAAGCCGATTTTTTTCAGAGCCACTAAAGTATGTGTTTTACTTTGACTGTCTTCACACACCAATGGCAAATTGGCTGGTTCTTATATTTCGCTTTTTTACTCCACTTGATGACTTAAAGTGCTTCACACAACATGGCTCATTCATCCATTCATACCAACAATTATTTCTCCGTTTAAGTGCTTTCAATCTAACATTCACACTCTGATCTCACCAGTTTCAGCACCACTCTCACTAAATGTCCAGGCAAAGACATCTGTTTTATTTTCTTCTTCTACTTTTATGTTTCTTCTTTTGTAGTATTTTCTATAAGTAGTCAGGCCTCTGCTTCTTGTTTACATGTTGTAGGATTGAGTGGTCATGTGCTCTACATTTACAGGTGTGCATTAAAAGTATTGTATTCATCATTAGGTGCTATATACATGTATTCATCCATATTAAAACTGTAAAGACTCTAATCGAATTCCCTAATTTTGTCACGCTGCTTCATCAGAGGATCCACCAAAAGGTATGTGATCAGCAAGTAGCATGGCAGAATCTATTTATGCATGAAGGTGTTGTTGGCATTGGCTTGCTTTGCTCACACATTTTATTTTTAAATGAATTCAATTTTTTTTAGGCTGACCGATACAGACATATTTTAAGACTGATACAGATAGACAGATTTGTTTCTTTCAGAAACACAAAACAAACATAATTCCCTGTTTATTTATTATGTGCACTTGTTTTTGAGTCATTATTAACACAATATAACAGTAAAATTGTGGATTAGTTGTGTATGTGCCTTTGCTAAGTGCCTTGCCAACGGGGAAGTTGCAAGAGTGCCCTCTGGTGGACAAACTCTGCAAACCCACTCCACATAACATGTCCGAAGGGTGTTTCTCCCATCCTTCCCTTTTTTTTTCTGTTTCAAATCTTAATTTGTCACTGCTGGTTATACATATCAGTACCAATATATTGGTAAATGGCTTATATTGAATGATACAATAGCCCTGTTCGTAAAGCTCTACCTTAAATTGTTTATTATTTTTTTATTTTTCTGTTGAATGGGTGTTTGTCTGTTTGCCTTGCAGAAAAGCACACTGTTGGCTTTAGCCAGTCGAGCCTGATTCATCTGGTGGGCCCTTCAGACTGTACACTACATGACTATGTTCATGGAGGTTAGTCTATTTCTTTTTCTAGATACATTCACTGATGAAATGTTGTACAGTTAATTTCATACACTAATATGTATCTGAGAGCTGAGCATTTAGCATTTTTTTATGCTACAGCATGAGGGGACATGAAAAAACACACTAAATTCTTGATGAAGATTTAGGTTAACTACAGTCTGGCTTTTAGATGTGTCTTCTATAAACTCAGTGTTATTAAACACATGACTCATTAGTCATGACTGAAACTTCATTTATAGAATAAATTATTAAGCTGTTAAAGATAGAAATACATTTTCACACTATCAAAGAGGGCAAATTAACATAGCATTACATGGTTCAAACTAATGAAGGCTTCATACTTCCTCTTAGCCTTAATCCAGTCTTAAGCATATATATTTTCTTCACATCCAAAGCTATATTACATGAATGAATGGGTCGGATGTTGACTGCTGCTTACTAATTATTTGTATGAAGAGCCTACACACAACAGTAGCTGATGCTACTGTATTCTATGCACATTCACTGGATACTTTATAAGGTAGACCTCACTAGTACTGGGCTGGACCTCCTTTTGCCTTTAGAGCTGCCTTAATTCTTCATGGCATAGATTCAACAAGGTGTTGGAAACATTTCTCAGAGATTTTGGTTCATGTTTACATGGCAGCATCACACAGTTGCTGCAGTATTATTGGCTCTACATCCATGATGTGAATATCCTGTTCCACCACATCACAAAGGTGCTCTACTGGATTGAGATCTGGTGACTGTGGAGAACATTTCTATACAGGGAACTAACTGTTATATTCAAGAAACTAGTTTGAGATGATTTGAGCTTTATGACATGGTTTGTTATTCTACTGGAAGCAGCCATCAGAAGATGGGTACACTGTGGTCATAGAAGGATGCTCACTATCAAGAGCAATACTCAGGTAGGTTGTGGCATTTAAATGATGGAGCCTAAAGTTTGCCAAGAAAATATCTCGTGCACCATTAAACCACCATCACCTGAAGCACTAAAACAAGCAGGATGGATCCATGGTTTCATGTTGTTGACACCAAATTCTGCCCCTAACATCTGAATGCTGCAGCAGAAAATGAGAATTCAACATGTTTCCAATGTTCTATTGTACAATTTTGGTGAGATTGTGCAAACTATAGCCTCAGTTTCTTGTTCAGTGCTGAGAGGAGTGGCACCCGGTATGATCTTCTGCTGCTACAGACCACGGATTCACTGCTTGTTTTGTTGTGTCTCCAGAGATGCTCCTCTGCATGTCCTGGTTATAACTTGGTTGTTATTTGAGTTACTGGTGCCTGACTATCAATTCAATGCAGTTTGACCATTTCCAGAGTACTGCCACTCACTGGATATTTTTCTTTTTCAGACCATCCTCTTTAAACCTTAGAGATGGTTGTGTGGGAAAATCCCAGTAGATGAGTGGTTTAGTACCTACAGCTGTGCCACGTTCAAAGTCAGTTAAATCACTTTTCTGATACTCAAATATTGATATGCCTATATTCACTGAGTTGCTGCTATGTGATGAGCTGATAAGATACTTCGTTTATTGAGTTGATCAAGTGTACCTAAGAAAGAGGCTGGTGAGTGCACATCAAAGATAATGTAAGAAAACAACCAAAACTTGCTATTTGCTCAAATCAGTAAAAAGTGAAATTTTAAAAGTGCTTTTAGTTTTATTCACACTGTGTGATTGATTCACTAACAGCTGCTGACAAGCCATTTCGGAGCTCAGTGTTTTCAAGTTGCCGTCTGCCATTTGTCATCTGCGTCTGTCAGACTTCTTTGTCATTCTCACGCAAGTAAAACAAAGAGCATGAATGACATGCTGTTTAGTATTCAACGCAGGGACAGGTCAGCCCATTCACTGCCTCAGTACAGTATGAAAATTCTGCAGGGAGTTGTGGAGGATGAAACAGCTGCTCAGAGTGGAGAACATACAGTAAGGCAAACAGGTTTGGGCAAAGTGAGACAGATTTAGAGGCGCAGAAGAAGATAGCAGCAAGGAAAGACATAAATATAATATAGTATATACTGTGTTTGTTTTTTGGTGTTAATGCTTGTGTTAAAGTAAAGGCAGAGTAACCCATGTCTGTGTAGGTTCTGTGTAGGTGGAGGTTAAAGTGGGATTTTGCAGGTGGGGGAACAATAAATATTGGTGTACCAGTGCACTGGAGGGAAATGACTCCATAACAAATAAGTCTGTTTCTCAGGCTTGACGCTCTTTGTGGATTTTGCCAGCTAAGTTCTTCCATACATATGTTAAATCAACCATCAACCATCAGGGCTACTTTCCAGTTTCTAGCCTGTATAAAGGCAGCATAAAAGTAGTATTTGGCAAGTTCTGCTAAAGAGCATTATTGGTTTAAATTTAAATCGATGACTCTTTCAAAAGGGCACCTAGAAGCGATTCCTGCAGCCATACCTAAACACACTTATTTTGAAAGATTATCTAGATTAGTTTTTGATTAACATTAAACATAAAACAAAAACTGCATGCGCAGAATATCGGTTCAGAATTTGCCAACTTATCTCACAAATACGGGTTTAAAAGCTGTTTTCCTCTGGAAGGTGTATCTGCCACCATCTTTGCAGTTGAAAAATTCTCATATAAATTTAGTGTCATTTCTGTCTCTTATAATGTCTCTACTGCAACCCATGACCTTACCTAATGGTGACCATGGAGACCGCACTCTGCCCTGCACCACTGCATCTAGTCCATCACTGAAAACTGTAAACAATACTGCAAATCACCCAGTTTAGCCTGCTGTGCTCTGCTGTGCACTGACAATAGTCTCTCATCTTCATGTCTAGCCCTTTCATTATTACATCTTTCCCCTTCGCGAAGAGTAAAATAACACACATTAGCATTTTTTTTTGGCCTGGAAAATACAACAACTATACCTTTAAGTAGGAGACCCACTGTGTGCCAAACTGCTCATATTTGTTGAGCTATTTGAAATGTTGCAGGAAATGTACGCAGGTCCCTTGGGTGACTTAACTGCCTCGGTGGCAATAGCTGCAGGACATGAAGCCCATCAGATGTAATTACTCATTAACTGAAGGCGCAGGAATGCTTTTCTGGATCGTTCCGTCCCACTTTAACCTCTAGGTGCAGGTGAACAAAGAGGAATGTTCCAGTCTTAGATGGCAAATGGATGTCTCTTTCTCATTGCTGAACCAAAAAATACATCTTATATAATGTTGTCAAACAAGCAACAGAAAAGAACTCAAGCACAGCATCAAGTATTAGTGAGAGTTAGCTGTTAGATTGATTTAGGTACTGCACTGATGATCCACAGGCAGACTGCAAGGGGACTTTTTCCTCAGAAGCAGACACCGTGACACAGCAGATATTGACTGCCTGCGATTGAGAACAGGTAAAACCTCAGCTGACACGTATGCAGAAATAGTTGCTAGTTAATTTGTAAATTAGAAGGGTCAAATGGACTGGCAAAAAACTCAAGGACAGGAAAAGCATTGGCTGGTCCAGCACATTTAGAAGCAGGAGAGGCTTCTACTCCCCTTCATAACCCAGGGGGTTATGAAAGAGTGGCTCCAGGAAAACTTGGTGGGCAGGATCAGACGGGTAACTGCCAGATTCAATGCTCTGCCAAGTAAACAACTGTCTGAAGTTAGCAGATCAAGTGGAGAGACTGGCTCAAGGTTTATACTTTCAGCCTCATATTAGCCCTAGCTTGGGGGTTACTGGAAACATGCAGAAAAGCATACGTGAAACAATCCTCAAAATCAACACTGTTGTAAAGGAACATTTCTTCTGGATGGGCTCATTGTTCTTCCTTGAGCTTTTCCATGAGCAGTGCTATATTTGAGTCTGTTCTTACAGTAACAGTGTCTGTTCATATTCAAGGTTCAAGGTTCTTTATTTGTCACATGCATAGTTATACAAGTATAACACACAGTGAAATGTAGCCAAGAGGACACAAAGGCGGGCTGAAAGAACAAATAATAATGACAGAGAAAGAAGCAACACAGATCAAATACAAGAAGAATTTGGACAAAATCCTTCAAGGACAAACTGGTAAGAAGGGACTGGTCATACAAATGGAAAAGGAAAGGAAGACAGGAAGCAAACTATAATAGGAGGATAATAATGAAAAAGGAATCTACATATAAAACCCAAGACAATGACAAATTGGTTCCTTGGGTAAAAACTTCCCCTATGAACAGGGAAGAAAAGACTTAAAGTCAGATATGCTTTGGAAGCTACCATTCCACCTGAGCTTTCCACCTGGGGTGACCGTGGCTCAGGAGGTTGGGAAGCGTATCTGTAACCGGAAGGTCGCTGGTTCAATCCCCGGGCTCTCTGTCCTGGTCGTTGTGTCCTTGGGCAAGACACTTTACCCTACCGCCTACTGGTGTTGGCCAGAGGGGCCGATGGCGTGATATGGCAGCCTCGCTTCTGTCAGTCTGCCCCAGGGCAGCTGTGGCTACAACTGTAGCTTGCCTCCACCAGTGTGTGAATGTGAGAGTGAATGAATAGTGGCATTGTAAAGCGCTTTGGGTGCCTTGAAAAGCGCTATATAAATCCAATCCATTATTATTATTAAAAAAGGAGGTAAAGGTGTTTTTAAATGTATCTGAATTAACCCTCATGGAAAGCATGCAGGGATTGATAGAAGTATTCTGAGTGTGAAGGATCCCTGTTATTAGTTTGATGGAACACAAAGCTGTGACTAAAGCTATGAGGTCTGTGAGTGAGAAGTTATTTCTCCCATTTGTAGAGGAATTTGTGCAAAAACTATCCCTGTTATTGTAGTGTGCACACAGAACAGACAGCTTATGGACCATGAAAAACTATTTGCTGAATTTGTAAAAATACCGGTAAGCACTTGGATTAGCACGACTGACTTTACCTTTAACCCCCCGCATAACAGAGGCACAGTTGAAGAACTGCTGATTTAATCCAAGGAGAAACGTCCTTGAGAAGCATTTTTCTTGCTTTTAGTGCTCTTGGTGTCCTAAGTGAATG